ACTTCGTCTGGTTCCAAACTAATCAGGGTAAAATTTGAAAACTTTTTCAATTTCTGGTTCTGGGTATTGAAATTCCTATTATTGTTCGAGGCTTAATCCTTTAGTGTTGCTATTTTATGATTTTGTTCCTCTTTTAATTGTGTTCGATTATAGTTCTCTGTTTGCAAGATTGATATAAATTTGTTTGAATTATATTAGATGGGTTTTCAAAATTGCTAAAAGCTGACAAATTATTAGTTGATTGCAACAATGGGTTTGCTCAAGAAAGATAAGAAAACTTCTGCTCACTCCTCTACTTCTCCCTGTGCCGATTTGCGAAACGCTTACCACAATTGCTTCAATAAGTGAGTGTTTTTGTTTCTCTTTCAATCTGAAAATTTGATACTTTGTGTTGCAATGTCTTAGCTTTGTTGTCACCACAGATAATTTGTTGTGTCTTTAGTTGCTTTAGGGGTTTAGCTATGGTTTATGAAAACACTTGGTTGGTACTGTAAATATCTCTCCAAAAGCCTTAAAATTGCATCCTTTATCTTGATTTCTGATTTGAGTTTTGCAGATGGTACTCGGAGAAGTTTGTGAAAGGGCAATGGGATAAAGAAGAGTGTGTTGCTGAGTGGAAAAAGTACAGAGACTGTCTCTCGGTAACTAACTCATCACTCCACTTCTTTTCTTCAGTTTGATTCATGTTTCGTGTGGTTCATCTAATTGAATAATAAGCTTCTTCGCTTTCTGAGTTTTGTTTACGGTTTTCGTGTATTCAAACAGGAGCATTTAGATGGTAAACTTCTCACTCGCATTTTGGAGGTCGACCGTGAGCTGAATCCAACAAAGCAAGCTGATCCAAAAGAATCCAGTTGATGATACTTCTCAATAACATTGTCACATTGAAGCAGATTAATATCCATTGAACAATTCTTTTTTGGTAGGAAACCATAAAAATACATTTGAATTAGGAAGGAAACCAAAGTAGAATGAGATTGTTGTATTCTTTATTTGAAAGAGAGAAATAAAAAAAGAGATATCATCATTTCTTCTTGAAGAGGAAGTGTGAAACCATCCACTCTTCTCCATTGTTGTATCCGAAAAGCTCTGCAACCGCGATGAAGAAGGTTCTCCAGTAAACCATCCACTTCACTGCTTCCTCTTTCCCATAAGTCATTTCCATTATCTGCTTTACTGCAACTATCTCCTTATCCATTCTCTTGAGCCACTCTTCACTACAAAGTTGTATTATAAATTAACAAACATCACAAGATATTTATCATTCTTCTTCTTCTTGCTTATCAACAGTTTTTTAGAGTTTATACCTTGTTTGTGCATAATGCTTCCCGTTTACGAGCCAATGATCCACAATCGAAACATCTTCCTGAACATATATTGATATATGTTTGGATTGATGCTAATGTAAAATGAAACAAACATGGTAGGTTATAATGTATATTACTTGGAAATAGAGAAGAAGATTCGCCGATGGCATTGTTCCTCCGCTGAAGAAGTATCTTGTGATCCAGTCGTCGTCATTCACATCCTGTAGTGAATCAACATAATCCCAAAGATTGCATTATTACCAAGAAAAAAATGGTGAAGTAATTAATCAAAGAAGAAGCTAATTAATCAAATTTGACATTACTTATACCTCAAAGTGGTAAGCAAGTGTCTTGTGACAGAAGTAGTGAACAAACAGAAGACTATCTTCCTTCATCCACTTTCCTATTTTCTTCAGAAGCTCTCCATAATTTTTCATATGCTAATACACAAAACCAAAGCTTTAAAAACTCTGATCTTTAACAAAATCACACCTCAACCAATCATATAATGAAAGTAGTAAAAAGAAACAATCCAAACCTCAAACATTTCGATGGAGAATATTCTATCGTATGTCCCTTCATGCTCGAAAGTGCTAATATCCGCAACAATTATTTCGATATTCTGAAGCCCGAGTTTCCTTCAAAAACATGACAATCAAAGAAACCATTTATACATGAAGTTTACTTATATACTATAACTTAAAGCTTTGGATGTGACTAATTACCGGGATTGCTCATCGATAAATGCTTTCTGTGTCTTTGAGTTGCATAAACCGGTTAACTTGCATTTGCTATATTTCCGAGCAATGTACAAAGACAAAGATCCCCAGCCACATCCGACATCAAGAATACTTTGTCCATCTTCCACTTTAGCTCTTTCGCAATATAGAGCCAACATTGCTTCCTCTGCATCTTCTAAGCTACTTGAACTTTTTGGGAAATAGCAAGAGCTGTATTTCATGTTTCTTCCAAGAACAAGTTCGAAGAAAGCTGTTGGTAATTCATAGTGTTGAGTCTTCGGTTTCTCGGTATTGATCGCTATAGGCATCTCCTTTATAGCTGAAATATATCATTCATAAAGAGATTTATAAACATTTTTTCATGTGTTAAACTCGAGTAACATTTTGGAAAAGTATTTTATGACAAGACAAACAAAATGAAAGTGCTCTGTTTTTCAAAATGTAAATTTTTACTAGAAAAAAATGTGTTACATTTAAAGGCAAACACAAATATTTAAGTTTGAAACAATCTATGCTCATAATTGATTGGAGAAGAAGATTGACAGTTTCATAACACAAGAAGCAAAATCTCATATAATTAAGACCTTGAATTAGTCTTATATGCTTAGAGACCGGAGATCCAATTAACAAAATAACTCT